GACATCTTGTGGTACAGGAGACAGAGAAAGCATTCTCTACGTATATGGAAAGAGGTTGAAGTCTGAAACAATGGAAAACCGCAAGTTGATATTGACCAAAATCGGCTTTTCACTTCACGCAAATATCTATTGATCTGATTTTTTATCAATTTTTTGAGAAAATATTACATGCAGATTGTATGTACATTGCACATGCAGAAAACTAATATCTGAAAAAAACTGTTTTCTAAGTCTTTGTAGTCATATGCGTCTGCGTTTTCCGTGATGCTGGGCTCTTGAAAAGCTCTTCAACCTGCGAAATCGATGATTCTAATTATGCAAATACGGATATAAATACTTCTTCAATGATTAATCCTTTTGTTTCGGGCACAAAGAAGTAAAACACAACAAAGCCAACCGTAGAGCAACCAGCATAAAGGAAGAAGGCTCCTACAAACATCAAACTATATTCGTCACTCTGTTTTTGTTAATAAATTATTTTGTATTAAGTTATTATCTGTTGTACATGACGTGATCGATTACTCACACATGTCATACACTTCACGTGAATCTCATTCTCACATTTTGGCAATCAGTTAGCGGTTGATAAATTTGGTATCTCGTTGTTGAGTTTCATGCAAGTATTTATAACTTTCTGCCTGATTACCGTATTTGTGTATTGCTTCTCCTAAGGAGAGGAATGTGAGCGATATAGCCAAATTGAATGTCCAATTAGTGAATGTTGCTAAGGAAACACAAGTGCCTCTTGCCCATAAAGGATAGATTTCTGAGTTAAAAACCCATGGCATCGGTCCCATACCTGAGATTGATTGGAGCAGATGAACTGATTAGTACAAACAGAGTAACTAACCAAATGCAAAACAAATCAAATATAAAACCATAACACCTATTGGCAAGAAAGTGTATTTCGTTTTGCAATAATCAGGGTCTACACTGTAGTTTGTGTTGTTACCATTACAGAAGCCGACCTGTAAAGCTTTTCAATTAAATAACAACAGCATGTATCCGGAACCGATGTTGTCGGGTTGTTCGGATCCATACTCTTGGATAGGGGCAAGCATTGGCCAACTGTATCATCACCCTTCTCGTGGCAAAAGCCACAACTACTTGAAGTAACACAATAGTCACAATTGCTTAAAAAACAATATTTAATTTCCTTTTTTT